TGAAAAAGAGTGAAAATATTTTTGGACTTCAATTTTTTAAAATTTAAATTTACGAAAGAAAGTTTTCTAAAGAAGAAAGAGAATATTTTTGGAATTTGGTTTTGATTTTTTTTTTATTTTTATTTTTTAGGAGAAAGACTTCTGACGAAGGGAAAAACATATTTTGGATTTTGATTTGTGTTTTCTTTTTTCCAAATGAAAGACTGCGAAAAAGAAAGAAACTATTTTTGGGTTAAAAATATTTTCTTTAGGGATTTCTAAGGAAAGACTTTTAAAAAGGAATTTAAAAAAAAATACTTTAGGATTCTTGAAAATTGGGGCCGGACCCTATGAAGATTGCCAACGTATCTCACATCCGGTGAGAATCAGACATGCGTAGTTCGGGGGATTTTTTCAAAAACCTGGGAAAATGTCTTTTGTTTTTTGAAAATTTGGACTAGTTTTGTACAACCTTCTAAAAATTTGGCAAAGTTTCGAAATTTTTCTCTTTTTATTTTTTCAAATACCGGGATTTTCGAGAACTGGATATATTTTCCCCCTCTTATCTTCTCTCTCCTAGTTTTCTTGATTTTCTTTTCCTATTTTAGAATCCAGTCAACATGCAAACCAGATCAAATAAATGCATAAGTAGCACGTACGATGCATCAGGATAGTCTTTTATTTTTGGGGTACACTTGTCCTAGACGGACCCAACCCCTGTGTTGAGTTCCCAAAGTCAAATGCACGTTATGAAAACAAGCATACCTACTAGGAATCCGGTATGAGGCTTTATTTTTCTAGGTTTAAACCTTAAGAGGTGGAGTTCTAGATAAGCTTACCCGAGCGGACAACTTGAGCTAGGGAAGCAGCGTACCGGGAATACAGAAGTTTCACCGGCTTTGCAAAGGGTCCGATCCTCGTTCTAAAATTAAGGGTATGACACTCTAACAGAAAAGAAGCGACGCGAAGTGTTGTGCTTCCCAGGAGATTTAGAAGACTCACATAGAAGAAGAGTATCGTAACAGTTTATATATAGTTCACGGCAATATTAAAGCGGTAAAGAGTAATATTTAGCACATTAGGCTCAAACATGTAATATCAGATAATCACAAGAAGCCAAGTATAACAGTTATTCTAAGTTCAAATTCTGAACCGGAAGTTTTTTCACTTTAAGTGACATTATTGAAAATGGACTATTTAATTAATTTATAGAGTTGCCGCTGAATAATTATTAAGGTGTCCCAAGTCACCGATTTATATTAAATCCCAATTCAAGGAAAGTTTGACTCTGTATAAGCATGTGAAACATAGAAGATCGGATAAGGAATTCTGTATAAGTTGCTTTACAATTACACATGGCTTGATTATTGGATTATTACATGTTTTAAAAGCTATGTGTATTTTACCTTTTACCGCTTTTGATTTTATATTTTTAATAATTATATAGTTTATTTGAAACAAGTCACGATGTCGTGCACTTGTTGTTTTATGCACATTGCAAATCACGTCACGTGAAATGCACCCGTGATTTACAACATATTTATTATTATTTGAAGTTGTATAATCAAGTCATGCGAATGTGCACTTGAATTTATAGTTTAAGTGCCACAGTTATGCCACGAGAACTGTACCCATAACTATGACGATCATTTATTAATCGTGCCTAAAAGCATGCTAGCGATGTTTATGAGTTGTATCTTTCCTAAGTTTGAGATTAATTGCGACAAGTCCAAAATTATGGAATTTAGTTGTTGATACAAGATGTATTGGAACTAATTGCCAATTCAAAGCATACGCCATTTAGAGTATTAAAGGTTGGTATAAAATTAATCACTGAAATTTATAACGACAGGATGAATTTTGATGAATGAGTGTAAAATTAACAAGCATTGTTTAGGAAGGCAGTGTTTATGTAATCGATAAGGGCTAGAAAAGAACTGTTATTGATTTGTTCATTAATTACAAAGTAAATGGAGTGTCAAGTTAAGTGTTCACTTTTGGACCTCCAACATGTCTTAATGAGTGAGGACGGGCTAATAGTGAAGCCCAAGGTGCTTTAGCTTTCTCGAATAGCCCAAGTCTTTATGCGCATTAAAATCACAAGCTTCCAATTGGGCCTCTAAATGAGCCCAAACACATACTAAAGTTCCAAGTCTATGAAAAACCCAAATCAATAGCACAACTTCGTATGAGCTAATTGTTTAGGACGAGCAGTGCTCTGAAACCAAAGATCTAATAACTAATCCATCTAATTCTTCACCCAATTTTCGTACCTTATTGCACAAATGAAAGCAACGATAAAATCTTTCCAAGCATGAACACATGATTGCTCGAACTTTATAAATTACAACATTATACTGTCGCATCAAGGATTATTATTTTGAATTTACAATAATAACTAGATTTGTATGAGCTAAAGCAGTATGATAACATCATTTAGTTGTACTAAAAGCCTTTTAGTTTTACATCAATATACAAATCAACCAGCAATACACCACGGACATATCTGGAATTGCCTCTTTAATCATAATGTTTACCGATCTAATCAACCAGTGATAAGATCCGTAAACTTAAGCCATTAGCTCAGTCAATTGAGCCTCTTCGTCACCAATTAACACAAGAGTAATTCTAGTAAATGTGGGATGGAATAACTACGATTAATTTAAATTTGATGCTCAAACAAAATCATGATATAGCTAAATCAGTTATGGCAGTCATTCAACTCAGCAAGGAAGAACAAATAACTTTATTTCAACAACAATCAATCTGCAACAAACAAGATTTTACTAAATTCACACAAGGTTACGAGATTAGAAGTTAAGGAATACCTTAAAATGACTAAATCAAGGAAGAAAACGATGAAGAAATGGAATTGAGTTCAGCAAAGCAAGGACAACATATCTAGTCAATCGAATAGTAGTTTTTTAGCTCGCAAAACCTTGAAATAACTTTTGAAATCCTAGAAATATCAATCAAATGTGCTGGAATTTGAAAACAACTTTGTATCCTTCTCCATATGGTACTTCCTTCTGTTTTTTAAAGTTATTCTGATTCTAGATTTCAACTGGATTTTATTTTTTGAATTTCAAACTTTATTTTCAACTGTTTTAGTGCTGCTGAATTTTTAAAATTTTGAATTGTATATGAATGAGTGTGTGAGTGAGATGTGAAGATGTTGTATGGGTGAGATAAGAGTGAATGCGAATGAGAAGAGTGTGAATATTTGTGTATATGTGTGAATGTATTGCTTTATAACAACTTTTAGCATCTTAAACCCCTATTTTTTTTACCACATAGCTAGCATTCACACGCATGGGCCTTCTGGCCAACAAGCCCAAAATCAAGACCTAGACCCTAAATCCTTCTCAACTTGGATTTTAATCTAGTTGGCCTGCATGTCAAACAAGACATGCCCAATACTAAGCTAAGACATTCAAACAAACAGATTTGAAGTCTAATTCAAATTGAAAACTAAACAAACATTACTTTTAAAAATTTAAAACTAGTTCAAAACACAATCAAACTAATTAAAATAAGTGATTAACTATCAATCTAGATATGCAAACATTAATTCATCTAACTCTTAATTCTGCATAACTAGATTTAATTGATTGAACAAATTCAACACAAAACCACACAGTTGAAAATAATAGGGAAATAAGAAGAAAAAGAGATATACCTACTGAGCTCAAAGGGGCGACCAAAATGATTCCCGTCATCCTGAGAAACAGAACGGTAAGTGGTTGATTCAATGGTATTTGACCGGATTTCGGTGATTTTGAGATGAGCCAAAACTAACGTAAGAACAATCGATTAGCGTAAGTTTTAGGTCAAAACGATTTGAGAATATCGAAGAATCAAGAAAGGGCGAAACTAAGAGTTTCCGAAAATCTTAGATCTATATATCGAGAGAATCTGAGGGGTTTTGAAGGAAACTAAGAAGAGATATGGTATAAGGAGGAGGCGAGGATTGTCTGGTGTTGATTTGGGGATGTTTAGAGGTTGGCCGCCACCGTGGGCGATTTCCAGCGGCGGCGTGGGGCGGAGGCTGAGAGAGGGGAGAAGAAAGGGTTCTGGTAGGTCTTTGGGGGTAGGGGCGTTTCGGACACTTATATGACTTTGAGAGATCAGTTCCCAAATCTTGGATCTTGCTTGAGGGACGACTAAGATTAGCCGCACCGAGAACGATGGCGTTTGGTGCTAATGAAAGCTGGACCGGGCATGGGGAATTTGGACCGGGCAAATTTTATGTGTACTGGGCCTCAAAGCTTGGCCCAGCTCGGTTTTGAACAAATAGTAACCTCAAATCCTCCTCTTTTAGTCTTTTATGTTTAGTCACTCATTAATTAACTTAATACATAGAACTTAAATTGCAAAATTAACCCTTTATATGAATTATCTAATTAAATTAACTAATTTGTGGATTACCAACTTAACTAATTAGTTGAACCTGAGATGTAAAAGAAAAAATAAGAAAGATTGCATGTATTTTTGTGATTTTTTCTATTTTAGAAATGCAACCAAATCATGTAACTAAATACAATTAAGATCTAAATGTGAAGATTAAAATATAAAATATTTTTGTCATTTTTATGATTTTAAAAATGTTACCTAAAAATGCATGAAACACAAATACGCGTAAAACAAATTAAATAAAAATATAGGAAAGTTTTTAAAATTCTATAAAAATAATTAAAGGCTATTTTGGAATGTTTTAGGAGCCATTTTCATATCGGGCAAAAATTACGTGCTCATAGCTGGAAAGAAATTTAGAATTAGCCTGATTTATAACTTCTAATTGTTTATAATATAGTTTCAAAATTAAATAAAATTTAGTCATTTTTTCATATGAAAATAAAATATAGACAAGAGTTTCAATTAGGGGTATTTTGTTTCGAATTTATCCCTGTATTAAATAATTGTTATTTTTCATTTACTTTGCAAATATTGATTATTTTTCAAATACCGGTCAAAACGTTGGCCAATCCATGCCTATTTTAACAAATAGCTGCTATAGTTAAGCCCGTCTCCAACTACCGTCACCAGTTTGCAATTATAGCCAATTCTTTTGATTCTCGTTCACTTCTCTTCTTTAGTCTTTCACCGGAAAAACTAAACCCCGTCCTTTCGATCTCTAAAGCTTTCAGTATTTCGCCGGTGAAATTATCTGTCTCTTCTCCCAAATCGGTGAGTAAATAACGATTATGCCCTTGAACCTCGTTTTCTTTCATTTCTCATTGTTGCATTTTTTTCACCTCCTTTGCTACCTTTATGATCATAATTTCACATTTAATTAATTGCGTTTGTTGTTATTGTTGCTGTGGGAATTGTTGAATGTGTGATGATACTTGTTAATAACAACTGTGATTACAATTGCTTTTTTCAAAATGCTTGAAACTGTGTAATTGATCTTAGAATTCAGTAGGTAAAAAATTAATCCTCTTGAAAATTGGGGGTCTGATTATGGAATTTAATGGACAAAGGGAGAAGAGAGGGAATAGGATGGTAGGACTAGATAGCAGACTGTTTGAATGTTACCTACATACATAATTACTTCCTTTATTTCCTTGTTCTATATTATTTTTTCTAATAACCGTGGTGTTCGGGTCAGTTTGCGCGTATCTTAACTAATTCTACAGGATACCTGCTACTTCTCACAAGCAACATGTATAAGGTTCTGTCCACCAAGGCTTGAAGAGATGAGAAGAAATCACCTAGTATTTTTTGTCTCCGCTGGAATTTAAACCTGTAAACACGTAATTTTTGACCCTCTATGAAATTTTATTGCTTGGATACTTATTTTAGGTCCAAATTGTTATTTTGACTATGTTTGGCTCTTTTACTTTATTTTATCTTAAAAATGAAAACCACAAAAAATATTATCTCTCATTTGAGTTGCTTGGATTCTGTTTAGCTATTTATGATCTATCTTACTTTTGATAAATTGAAAAGTCAAAAAACAAATAGTTACATGTTTAGATACAAGTTTTTTCCCCTTTGCAAAAGGAAAAGAAATTCACAAAAAATAGATGTCTTCCTATTAATTAAGTTTTCAATAAATGAGTATTTTCCTTGCCTAAAATATTTAACTAGTATTTTTATTCACTCTTTCAACAGAAAAACTGAAAAATACAAGAAGAAGAAAAGAGAAAGAAAGTAAGCTATTAATTAATTCTGAGTTGGTGTTTCCCGTTCGAGGTTGTCCAGTCTTACCTTGGTTTTCCGGTCGGTGGTTCCTCTGTGTTAATTTTGTTCGTATGTCAATCGGCGGCTCTCAGATCTGTTTCGTTTTTGCTTAGAGGTCCTTGTATATTTTTAAATCATCGAAGGAAATCCGATTTTGCTACTCTAAGGTCCATTATTAACTTGATCTTTTTAATTTAAGTAGTTTCTGTTCTATTTATATTTCAAATCTTGCTTTAGTTGATCTATGTGGCTATTTTGTTGATTGTGATTCGTTAGTTGAACTAGTACATATATTGAATAGTTTTGTCGAATCTGATCCTAAATTCTTGAATGGATATTTGAGTGAAATACATGCTGCCAAGAGCTGGAATATAGGCCATATCATGTTTGTGTTATGTTTCCTTGTTAATTGGGATTAATTACTCATGTTTGCTGCGTTTCCATAGTTCGTTATCTGCTAATTGTTCTTTCGTTACATTACTTGATCAAACATGTAGTTGGATAGGTTTGAAAGTTTTTAAAAGAGAAGAAGGAAGTGTTTGACATAAGTCATGAGGTGCTGGATATTAAATGAAAGTAAAATTGGGTTTAACATGTTTTATTGCTTTGCTTTAATTGTTTAAAATCGCTAGGAGCATGTACTAGGCCGTCACACATGGGTTGGCAAATCTAGGACGTGATGCATGTTTGAATTGGATAAGGTGAAAGGTTGTCCCCTAGTTAATTATTTTTATCAGGGGAATGTAAATGAAGGCCAAGGGTGAGCAACTTGAAGGAAGTGTAGTGTAGGATAGTTTAGATCTATTTTTATTCTTTTTCTTTCTTTTATTAGGTGGGGGGAACAATCTTGAACTTTCTTATTTGCTAAGTTGCTCGGACTCGGGTGCGGGTGTCTGATACGGGTGCGGATCTAGAGGTCAGATCCTTCATGATCTAAATTTAAAGATTCGGAGGTACGGATCCTGGTACGGGGATTCGGCTAAAAATAATTCAATTATTTAAAAATAGAGTTATAAAAATATGTCTAAATTATGAGACATTACGTGCAAAACTTACAAGGTATTCCGAGAAGGAGAAAATATTGAACAAGAGTAGAATTTTAGAAGGAGATAAAAGGAAAAGGACTGACATAGAAATTTATATATACAAGGTATTCCATTTTCTTCCATATCACACTAGCTTTTGATTTGTTTTCAAAAATTATTGTATCTGTCCCAAATTTCTCCGTTGATTTTGGTCAAAGTACCCAAAATCGGTTGACCAGATCCGACACGGATCCCACACCCATACCCACACCCATACCCACACCCATGTCGTGTCGACACGAGTGCGGCACTGAAAGTGAAGAGTCCGAGCAACTTAGCTTATTTGTGTAATTTTGTTTGTGTGGTCTCAATTCGAGTATTCTTTAAAGCCAACTTGATCAAGTCCGCAACCATTATTTTTGCGGGACTTGGGAAATATCTTCAATTCACGTCCTTCTAATTTAGGAGTCATGTTAGTAGTATTTCAATTATTAGCTCATATCTGATGCTTGATGTGTGCATCTGCAGATTGGTTTGTTAGCCTATTTGACTAGAGTGTGTAAATTCCCCTCCGGTGGTACTAAACAAGATTTCCAGCAAGGAATATGGTATGGAAGCAAGCTTTGTTTTAAATATCTACATTACTTTGACGACAATTATCTCTTTCACAGTTTATAGTGTGATTAAGGCCATGCATGATGAAACTCACTGTTATCTTTGCTTTGGTAATTAAACTTGGACTTTTTCATGGTTTGGTGCACTAAGTGAGCTGCGTGACTTACATTTCATATGTTCTTCATTCCACTATTATTCATTATGCAGACTTTGGTTTCAAAGAGAAAGAAACAAATAAAATAAATGACAAATAGTATTATCATGTTTCCCCCATATCTCGGCAATGAGGATCTGTTACTGATCGACTACGTGGGATCGATTGCGGTGTTTTCTTTGATTTGTACTTACCTTCAAAAGTGTATAGTCAAGTGGTGGTAAACAACAGGATAACCGATTTAGAGACAGTGGACCTGATACGATTCGGATACACACAAGTGGAATAATAGCTAATAAAGTGTTTAATGAAAATAGCATGATAGAAAGTCCAAACCGAAATTGAAGAACAGGAAGAATCCTAGGCTCTAATTGGACTCTATAGTAATAATTGATATATGAAATCAATCATCTCCAAAGAACGACAAGAAAGAACCAAAGATATAAGGATTTATAGAAGAAAGAATTACAGTTAAGATTCAAGCTTGATTGTAATTTCAAAGTTTAATTTAAACACAGAGGACTACAACCTCACCAAGATTTTTATCAATTTTGGTCTTGGAACGGGTAGACATTTTGGAACGGGTAGACGTTCCTATCGACCATTCGTGATCTTCTGTAATATGCTCTGTGATATCCGGGGTCATATGAGCTCTCTATTTGTGTTCCCTATGAGATTTCTGTGTTCAACTTCAATGTATATCCCCTTTTCATTTAATCTACTCTATTCTTTTTGTTTTACAGGGTGTCTTAACCCAAAACAGTCAGCCCCATTTAATGCTGAAACCTGATTTTGATTCAATTACAGGTTTATCACTCCAGTTTTATTGACGAGGAAGGAATTAGTAAAGCTTGTGGATGCCCTTTATTACCTCTGAAAAGCCATATAAAGGGACCTGCTCCAGTTTCAGAACAAGGTTAGTCGTGCGAGTCTTATCTTTCCGAGGGCAATGTCTATACATTCTTACGGTTTGATGCTTATCTTATTTTTGAGCAGATACAACTGATATTGTTGATGAAGCAATCACATTCTTCCGAGCAAATGTCTTCTTCAAAAACTTTGATATTAAAAGCTCATCTGACAAGCTACTTATCTATTTGACATTGTATATCAACATCGCACTAAAGAGGCTTGAAGGCTGCAGAACTTTAGCTGAAGGAACCAAGGCTATCATCAACCTAGGTTTGGAAACGGTTCCTGTACCTGGAGAGTCAGGTTTTCCATTCCCAGGCTTATTTACTGCTGCCCAATCTAAAAAAGAAGCAGGTAGATTGTTTGATGAACTAAGCAACCCTCTTTTTCCTATGTGAATAAACCACCAATACATGATTTCGGTTGATTTTGAGTTCGCTATTTTGCTTCCATTTTGTCTTTTGAGATTCTAAAATGAAAACAAACAAGTTCACAGCTTATAGTTCTTCAGTTATTATATCCAAGTCCAATTTTGCCAACTTCTTCTGGAATTTCCAATTACACTACATTTGAATGCTTGAATCCTAACCTTTTTACAAAACTTAATAGGGTAGCTGTGAGAAGGCACGAGAGAAAATATGTTATTGATATTGGATGTTCAATACAATACAAGAGGTCCTTATTTATAGCTGTACTATACAAGGACATACTACTCCTATTCCAATGTGGGACAAGACTACACTATATACATAGCTGTAAACTAACACTCCCCCTCAAGTGGGTGCATACAAATCATATGAACCGAGCTTGTTAAATATATAACCAATACGGGGACCAGTGAGAGACTTGGTGAAAATATCTGCAAGTTGATCATTCGACCTCACAAACTTTGTAGCAATCTATCCTGAAAGTATCTTTTTCTGACGAAGTGACAATCAATCTCAATGTGTTTAGTTCTCTCATGGAACACCGGATGTGATGCAATATGAAGGGCAGCTTGATTATCGCACATAAGTTCCACCTGATTGATTTCACCAAATTTCAACTCCTTGAGCAATTGTTTGGTCCAGACTAGCTCACATGTTGCCATAGTCATTGCTTGATATTCTGCTTCTGCACTAGACCGAACAGCTACATTCTGTTTCTTGCTCTTCCAGGACACCAAATTGCCTCGTACTAAAACACAATATCCAGACGTAGAACGTCTATCAGAAGGTGATACTGCCCAATCAGCATCTGAGTATCCAACGATCTGCTCATGACCTCGATCCTCAAACAGTAACCCTTTGCCTGGAGCCGATTTTATATACCGAATAATGCGGGCAACCACATCCCAATGACTATCACAGGAAGAATTCATAAACTGACTTACAACACTCACATGATAAGAAATGTCGGGTCTAGTCAGTGTGAGATAATTTAATTTTCCAACCAGCCGCCTCTAGCACCAGCTCCCCCTGTTCTGGCAGAAGTTTAGAATTCGAATCCATCGGAGTGTCAACAGGTCTACAACCTATCATCCATGTCTCCTCAAGAATATCTAAAACATATTTTCTTTGAGAAATAACAGTACCTGAGCTAGACCGGGCAACCTCAATACCTAGAAAGTACTTCAATCTGCCTAGATCCTTAGTTTGAAAGTGCTGGAAACGATGCTGCTTCAGATTGGTAATACCATCCTGATCATTGCCAGTAATAACAATATCAACATAGACTATCAGACAAATACAGAGACTTGAAGCAGAGTGCCGATAAAACACAGAGTGATCAGCTTCACTACGAGTCATGCCAAACTCCTGGATAACCGTGCTGAACTTACCAAACCAGGCTCGAGGAGACTGCTTTAGACCATAAAGTGACCGACGCAAGCGACATACAAGGCCACGAGACTCCCCCTGAGCAACAAAACCAGGTGGTTGCTCCATATAAACCTCATCCTCAAGATCACCGTGAAGAAAGGCATTCTTAATGTCTAGCTGATAGAGGGGTCAATGATGAACCGCAACCATGGATAGAAAAAGGCGGACTGAAGCCACGGGAGAGAAGGTATCACTGTAATCGAGCCCAAATATCTGAGTATATCCTTTGGCAACAAGACGGGCCTTAAGTCGATCAATCTGGCCATCGGGACCAACTTTGACTGCATAAACCCAACGATAACCAACAGTAGATTTACCTGAGGGAAGAGGAACAAGCTCCCAAGTACCACTTGTATGTAAAGCAGACATCTCGTCACTCATAACTTGTCGCCATCCTGGATGAGACAACGCTTCACCTGTAGACTTAGGGATGGAAACCGAGGACAAAGAAGATATAAAAGTATAATGGGGAGATGACAGGCGATGATAACTCAAACCGAAATAATGAGAATTAGGGTTAAGTGTGGTCCGTATACCTTTCCGAAGTGCAATCGGTGTACTAGGAGCAGGGTCCGCAGCAGGAGCAGGGTCAGGTGCAGGACGAGAACCAGTTGGGCTTGATGTAGGGCGCGAACGACGATGATAAGTCAAGAGTGGTGTTTCTGTGGCTGGGGAACTAGGAGGAACAACACTAGACTTCTCAACGGTTGGTATGGATGAAACCTCTGTGGTCGAAGGTGGAGGAGGAGCTATAGTAAACTCCTCAAAGGTCGGTATAGGTAAGACCTCAGATATATCATGGTGGTCAGCAGAAGTAAAGAAAGGTTTAGACTCAAAAAATGTGATGTCAGCTGACATAAGGTATCTACGAAGATCTGGTGAATAACAACGATATCCCTTCTGAACACGAGAATAACCAAGGAAGACACACTTGAGAGCACGGGGAGCTAACTTATCTTTCCCAGGGGCTAAGTTATGAACAAAACACGTGCTCCCAAAAACACGAGGTGGAAGAGAGTATAAGGGTGACTGGGGAAACAATACTGAATGCGGAATCTGATTCTTGATGGGAGATGAAGGCATCCGATTAATCAAATAACAAGCTGTGAGAACTGCATCGCCCCAAAAACGCAACGGAACACGAGATTCAATTAGAAGTGTGCGAGCAGTCTCAATAAGGTGCCTATTCTTTCTCTCAGCAACCCCATTTTACTGAGGGGTATAAGAATAAGATGTCTGATGAATAATTCCTTGAGAAGTCATAAACTGCTGAAACTGAGAAGATAAATATTTTAAGGCATTATCACTGCGAAAAATGCAAATAGAAACACCAAATTGGTTTTTGATTTCAGCACAGAAACTCTGGAATATAGAAAATAACTCAGAACGATCTTTCGTTAAGAAAAGCCAAGTACATCTTGAATAATCATCAATGAAACTAACAAAATAACGAAATCTTAAGGTTGAACTGACTCTACTAGGATCCCATATATCTGAATGAACTAAGGAGAAGACAGACTTTGCATGACTCTCAACACTACGCGAAAAGGAGGCTCGGGTATGTTTCCCAAG